TCTTTATGCATCTGATTAAGTGGGTTTTAGCCCACGAAAGCTTATGCCCAAATAAATTTGTTAGTCTCTAAGGTGCCATAAGGAGTCCTTGTTGTTTTTGCTTAATTTTATAAGTGTTAACTATGCACCTTTAATGTCCTTTTAATGTAGAGGTTTTTTTTGTTTTGTTTTTGGATGTAATTTCCTGTATTTAAAAAAAAACAACCCTTAAAAATTGGAAAAACAAAAATTTCATCTGATGGAACCATATTGACCCCCCCATGTGGTGGGTCATCAGCAGGGTGGGATTGTTAGACCCATAGCACAGTCCTCTACTACTTGAGCTAATAGAGTAACTGGTAGCAGTAGGAGGTTGTTATCTTCTATATGGTCCTGCCACTAGAAAGGAGCTGGAGAAACACTTTCAGATCAGTTGATTTCACAGACCTTATTAACACAATGGTACCAAACATGAGGGTTTTTATACTGTACCCCAGAATCTAAAGATTTCTTTACAATTTACAAGTGATGAACCTATTAAGAGGCATATGTCCTATCTTTCTAAACTGCCTTTAGAGAAGTTTTTGTTTGTTGTGGTTTTTTTGTTTATTTTTTATTTTCATATTGTCTAATTCATTTAGGCAAAACTTCAGAACAAGCGACCCATATTTTTTTAAAGGTTGGCATACTATATCTCTTAAACTCTGTAATGTCATTTTTATTTCAATAGACCTATTCCTCTTTGGTTAAGACAAAATCAAACTTGGATGGAGGGGAGCTCGGGACTTCTGCCTTGCAGCAGGGTGGTGAAGTAGGGGCTTCGGCGCAGCGGGGAGGGGGGACTCGGGGCTTCAGCCATATGGGGTGCCCCTGCTGGGCTCGGGGCTGAAGCAGGAGTGGGGCTGAAACCCCGACAGGTGCCTCCCATGGGCCAGAAGTCCTAAGCCCCAGCAGGCGTGCCCCAGCTCTCGAGCTTCTGAAGATTGTCTTATGCGCTTCGAGGGTCAGTAAGTTTGGCCACCCCGATCGATAGCAAGGACTGGACAAAGTAGCTACCATTTTCCAATTACTGAGAGAAGCCGGGTTAACGGCAAACCCCACTAAATGTGCAATAGGAAAGGAAGACGCCCATTACCTCGGGGACAGAGTCAGTGGAGGACAAATCTGCCCCTTGGTGGATAATGTTCATGCCTTACAGGTATACTGGGCACCCATGACCAAAAGGCAAGTGCATGTTTTCCTAGGCTTAGCTGGCTACTACTGCCGGTTCATACCCCATTTTGCCACCATAGCATTCCCGCTATTGACTTAACTAGGGAGGCCACCCCAACACGGGTGCTGTGGAACCTGCGAAAGTACCTTTCAAAAACTCAAGACCATACTCTGCAGATACCTAGTGCTGCCTAGCCTGAACTTCAAAAAGGAATTTGTACTACAAACAAACACACAGGCGGTAGGACTAGGGGGGTGGTCTTTTCTCCAAAGATAAATGGAGAAGAACACCCGATAGCTTGTATCAGCTTGAAACTCTTCCCCCATGAAAAATATACTCAGTGATAGAAAAAGAGTGCTTGGCTGCCAAACGGGAAATAGAGTCTTTGATACTACCTCCTAGGAAGTGAGTTCACGCTAGTTACTGATCATGCTCCAATGTGATGAAAGAGACAAACCTGAGGACCATGAGATGGTACCTGTTGCCACAACCGTACCACGGAACTTGTCACCTTTTGGATACAGCAACAGGCAGGAAATTTGCTTCCCAACTCTGATTTTCTGACCAGGAAGTAGCCTACGCCAGCCAAGGCCATGCCTCAGCCTTGTAGGGAAGAATACGTAATGGGGTCTACAACCCCATACGGAACACAGACAGCTGAGGGAGAAGAGCCTCTCCTCTTTATAAGCAAGTAGCTTGATCACACCCCCATTCAGCTGCCAGAGCTGCCAATCATGGAAGCCTGCACTCACAGCTGCAACCACTAGAGCAGGCCTGCACAACATGTGGCCCAGGGGCCGCATGCGGCACGCGTGGGCTCACTGTGTGGCCCGCGGGGGGTGAGTAGGCAAGCGGCGGGTGAGGAAGGGGGGCTGAGGAGGCAAGTGGGCAGGCAGTGGCGGGGGTGCAGGTGAGCCGGCGGTGGGGGGGGGGGGGGGGGCTGAGGAGGCGAGCGGTGAGTTGGTGGCTGACCTGGTCTACTGATCTGGTCTGGCTCCCATCCCCTCTCCAAGGGTTGCAGCTGTCTGGAGGTGCTGCCTTCCATGCCTTCCTCATTCACACCTCATTCGTTCAACAGGGCAATTGATTACAAAGTTTGGGGGGAAGATCTTATTCTACTTCTAGCAAAAAGACATTTTTCTTTTACCTTAATTATACTACCTTAGGAGCCCGCTGTAACATATTACAAAGATTCAGTACCGCTGTTTTGGTGGGGTGGCCCTGGGGAAGGAGGGTTTGTTTCCATGGGGCGGGCAGCGCTGGGGGTGTGTGTGTTGTGTTTCGGGCGGGGGGGGGTTGGCCCTCAGCTGTTTTCTTTGGAGTAATATGGCCCTCGCAGCTTTACGAGTTGTGCAGGCCTGCACTAGAGAAAGCAAGGTCTGCTATAAAAGGAAGAATATAGAGAAGGAAGGGGAGGCAGAAAAGCCTGGGCTAGCAAAGGGGTGACAGCCCTGCACCAGGCTGCCCCATAGGCGCCGACTCCATGGGTGCTCCAGGGCTGGAGCACCCACGGGAAAAATTGGTGGGTGCTCTGCACCCACCGGCAGCCAAGCTCCCCTCCCCACTCTGCCTCCCTGTCCCACCTCACCTCCACCTCCTCCTCTGAGTGCGCCGCATCCCCCTTCTCCTCCGAGTGCTTGCCGCCGCAAAACATCTGTTTTGCTGCATAACAAGCTCTGGGAGGCAGGGAGGGGGGAGGAGCGGGAACACGGCGTGCTCAGGGAAGGAGGCGGGGAAAAGGCGGGGCCAGGGGGGGATTTGAGGAAGGGGTTGGACTAGGGGCAGGGAGGGGGCGGAGTTGGGGCGGGGACTTTGGGAAAGGGGTTGGAATGGAGGCGGGGCGGGAGGGAGCGGGGCATAGTGGAGTTGGGGCGGGGCCGGGGGCAGAGGAGGGTCGAGCACTCTCCGGCGCCAGCAGAAGTCGGCGCCTATGGGCTGCCTCCAAGAAAACAGCCAGGAGACTAAAGCTGACTGCAAGCCATAAAATTGTAGGGTTGATAGACTTATTTGGAGGTGAGGGTCCAGGAACTGCCCTGATTGAGAACAAACTAAGGAGAGTCATTCAGGAGAAGCAGAACCCCACCCCCGACAGGACTAAGTGTTATCTAGACCATCCCTGACAGGTGTTTGTCTAACCTGCTCTTATATGTATTAACACTTCTTTATTCTGCTATTACTAAGATTTTGTAAATTATGTAATGACTTTAAAAATACAGTAAATGCCTGAAATCATATTTTTTATAAGAATGCAAGATTCTATCTATGTATTAAATGCTTATCCTTTACTCCTTCGACCTTAAGGCTTTATTTAAAATGGACTAACTGCATATAAAATATTTTTCTCTAAAAATGCCTGTTATCACATATGTATGTATTAACACTGTATTTGGTCATTACTAAGATTTTGTGAATGTAGTGACTTTATTTAGAAATCTACTGTTAAAATTATTTTTCTCTAAAAATGCATTTTAACACATCTCCTTTAATCTTCTGTCATTCAGACTTTGTACAATAAATGGGTAAAATGGACATTTTCCTCTAAAAATTAAAAGGTGTGAAAGCTATATTTATTCAGTTATTTCTAATACACCCAATAACGATAAACTTAAATGAAAATTTAAAAAAAATCAAAATGGCTGACACCAAAAATACAGGTCTCCAAAAATGAGACCAAAAGGCAAAAAGGAGTGTGTGGAAACATGTTCAGATTTATATGATGAGAAAAAGGTAAAGAGGTAAAACTACTAACCTCAAAATATAACATCAGCAAATAAATCTTTAGGATAAAGAATTCTTAAATCTTTCCTAACACTGTCACTTCCTTTCTTCTTCGAATCTGCTCTTCCAAGGAGCTTATGTGTTTTGTTTTGTTCCTTCAAAGACTTTCTGGTGATGAAATGGCTATTAAGCCTGCACTAGCAAAACTCTTAGACATTACAGAAGTACAGTCACCCAGACATATTTTTCCAGCAAGAGAGAAACAAAGAGGTGTGATAAGATAAACATAACTCCTTTTTGGGGAATAATGTCCTAGGGAATTCTTACTTCAACAGCAGCAGAGACAGGAAAAATGCTAAGTGACAAAGATTCTTTGTACAGTGTATGTAATCATACTTTAAAAATGTAGAAATAAAGTGCTGTATGATACGCTAGCAGAAAAGTTTCTAAACAGAATGGCTTTCAGAATTTTCTCAGAGGAGGAGGTTGGCTATCAGTTGGCTATTGATAATTTATTAATTGTAGTGTGATAGTACCTAGGCATTCCTTTAGAGAATCAGGGTCTCAGTGTGCTAGGTGCTGTACAAACATGTAAGAAAGAAGAGAGTTCTTGCCCCAGAGATGTTATAATTTACAACATGACAGGCAGGATGTAACAGGATGTCAGGACAGACAAATGGGGCGGGGAACAGCGACGTGGAGATGAATTAAACTTGTACAGTTCTTGGTCCTCTATTTCCCACAGAGCATGAAGATGTATCGTCGGAGGAACTTAGTAAAGTTAGGGACTTCTGGATAGGAAGTGATACCCTAGTTGGCTGCTAAGCAGGTGCAGTTTGATGCCTCTCTGAGCACACAGTGCAGCTGGGAGGATGAGACGGCAACATGGATAGAGTTGAGCAGAAAAGCAGAAATACCAATGAACTGTTTCTTAGGTGGTTACTTATGGCTTTCATTCCTGTTTTAGGCTGGCGTCAGGATGGAAATGGAAGAAACTAATAGAGTTAAAGTGCAGAAAAAAATAAGATCAAATGAGAAGCCACCATACGTGACAGCTGTTGGTGCAGAAGCAAACCCTTTGAAAAAATTTACCATCCCTAAAATAAAGAGGACTGCTGATAAAGGTACGGTAAACTGATAAAAATCAAAACGGAGCATTTTTGTCAAGTGAAAATTGTGCATAACCGTGTGTAAGTGATGTGTGTTATTCCAAAGCTCAATCAATAAATGGTAAAACCTCAAGCCTTGAAATCAACTGACTTGTTTCATATTTAGCACCTACCAGATATTGTGAACCGAGTTGATTAAAGCTCAGAAAAACCTGCGTGTTACTTCCATCACCCTGACATCTGCTGGGCAATACAGCGGTGCACAGACAATCCAGGAAATTTTTGGAGAGTGTTGGGGCCAGCTTCCTGGTGCAACTGCTGGGGGAACCAACTAGGGGCCGTGCTCCTCTTGACCTGCTGCTCACAAACCAGGAAGCATTGGTAGGGGAAGTGGGTGGCAACCTGGGCAGCAGTGACCATGAGATGGTCGAGTTCAGGATCCTGACAAAAAGAAGAAAGGAGAGCAGCAAAATATTGACCCTGGACTTCAGAAAAACAGACTTTGACTCCCTCAAGGAACTGCTGGGCAGGATCCCCTGGGAGGCTAATATAAGGGGGAAAGGAGTCCAGGAGAGCTGGCTGTATTTTAAAGAAGCCTTATTGAGGGCGCAGGAACAAACCATCCCAATGTACAGAAAGAATAGCGAATATGGCAGGTGACCAGCTTGGCTTAACAGTGAAATCTTTGGTGAGCTTAAACACAAAAAGGAAGCTTACAAGAAGTGGAAACATGTAAAGATGACTAGGGAGGAGTATAAAAATATTGCTCGAGCATGCAGGGGTATAATCAGGAAGGCCAAAGCACAATTGGAGTTGCAGCTAGCAAGGGATGTGAAGGGTAACAAGAAGGGTTTCTACAGTATGTTAGCAAGGAGAAAAACATCAGGGAAAGTGTGAGACCCTGACTGAATGGGGGAGGCAACCTAGTGACATATAATATGGAAAAAGCTGAAGTACTCAATGCTATTTTTCCTCAGTCTTCACAGACAAGGTCAGCTCCCAGATTGCTGCACTGGGCAGCACAATATGGGGAGGAGGTGAGCAGCCTTCAGTGGTGAAAGAACAGGTTAAGGACTATTTAGAAAAGCTGGACATATACAAGACCATGGGGCCAGATGGAATGCATCTGAGGGTGCTGAGGGAGTTGGCTGATGTGATTGCAAAGCCATTGGCCATTATCTTTGAAAACTCGTGGCAATCAGGGGAGGTCCTGGATGATTGGAAAAAAGCAAATATAGTGCCCATCTTTAAAAAAAGGAAGAAGAGAATCGGGTGAACTACAGACCGGTCAGCCTTACCTCAGGCCCCGGAAAAATCATGGAGCACGTCCTCAAGAAATCCATTTTGAAGCACTTGGTAGAGAAGAAGGTGATCAGGAACAGTCAACATGGATTCACCAAGGGCAAGTCATGCCTGACCAACTTGATTGCCTTCTATGATGAGATAACTGGCTCTGTAGATATGGGGGCTTATGAGGAGAGGCTGAGGGAACTGGGCTAATTTAGTCTGCAGAAGAGAAGAGGGAGGTGGGATTTGATAGCTGCTTTCAACTATCTGAAGGAGGGTTCCAAAGAGGATGGAGCTAGGCTGTTCTCAGTGGTAGCAGATGACGGAACAAGGAGTAATGGTCTCAAGTTGTAGTGGGGGAGGTCTAGGTTAGATATTAGGAAAAACTATTTCACTAGGAGGGTGGTGAAGCACTGGAATGAGTTACCTAGGGAGGTGATGGAATCTCCATCCTTAGAGGTTTTTAAGGCTCGGCTTGACAAAGCCCTGGCTGGGATGATTTAGTTGCTCCTGCTTTGAGCAGGGGGTTGGACTAGATTACCCCCTGAGATCTCTTCCAACCCTAATCTTCTATGATTTTATGGTTACAGACTATAATGAATATCTTGAATTTAAAATATATTTTTTTAGTTTTGTTCAGTTTTGCTAACATATCCAGAAAACCCTTCTCAAATGTCATATGTTCTGATACATATGAGCACCAATACATGGAGTTAAAGAGAGAGTTTTTCAGTTTCTGAAATAGAGGAGATGCTTTCTGTTGAAGTCAGGTCCTACAAAGTGGTGACTTAGAACCATTGGCCTGAAATGTACCCACGGGGTCATGGACCATGGACGAAGGCATGACCACACACCCCTCAGTTATTTTCTCTGCCTGCCATTGGACCAGGAGTGTAGAACCATTTCTTGTGGGGGCTTTGTGTATTTGGTATTGTGTTGTTTGTTTGTATTGTGTAGAAGGGTTTAATTTTAGCTAGTTATGGCAGTTAACACATTTCAAGATGGCTATGGTGAGTGAGCTGTGTGTAGCCTCCTGTCAGGCTCTTGTTGGCCTGCCAGTCATATAGTTCAATTTGTCACATTGTGCATTATTCAGTTGTCCTCCTCCTTTGCCTGAATTTAGTTCAATCCAGTGGAGCTCCAATCCAAGGTGGACTCCTCACTCACTCTACCAAGCAGTGTGGGGAGCAAGCAGACTTGGCTCTGTGGATGCCACCAGGTCTCCCTCATATGGAGAGTTCTGAGGAACTGTGGGAGAGGAAGAGAAAGGAGTCCTCCTCCTGATTACTGGGAGGGAGGAGAAGGGAGAAAGCCGAAGACTCAAGGTGAAAGGAGAAGTGGGAATAACAAGTCCCCAAGCCTCCCTAGTCTGTCGTGTAAAGGAAAACTTTGTGTATGTTCTTTGCTTATATATTTACTCAAGAGTCTCCTCACTTGTACCCTCTAGTTGATTTTTCTATAATCCCTCAAACCAGTATTGAATTCTCCTGTACTGGGGTGTCAAACGTTTGGCACCCAGACCCTTTCTCTGGCCCACAGCTTCACCCTTCAGAAGGGTCAGATCTGCAGTTGCCGACTATAATTTGTCCTGCTTGGCATGGTAGATCCTCGCTCCTACTGAGTGCCCAAATTACCATACCTTTGAAATCACCCTCTTCCTGGGAAGACTGGCCAGGGGCTGCTCTCCTTCCTAGCAGCTGTGGACTTGGCCACAGCCATCCCACAGTGCGGCCAGATTATTGCAACTCACTGCACCTAAGAGTGGAGCTGCCAACCCTGAACATGGTCCTGTTGGTACAGAATGCAGATCCCTGCCTACCTAGGACACCATGGATGTGTCAGCCCATTGCTCTGCTCTCTGTGCTGGCTTTCTGTTGAACATGGACCATACACGTAATGCTGATATTCTAAACCTTCCATGGGATTGATCCTAGCTACCTGAGAGATTCTCTTTCCTCTCTATGAGCACCATCTCTTACAACAGAAACCTTCCTTAAGAGCAATGAACTGTACCGTTATGTGAGACATATGAGACAGAACTTTCTCAGCCGCTGAGCCAAGATCCTTGGGCAAAGTAATGACAAATGGTCTCAGAACAGACAGCAAAGGCACATTGTTTTAACGTATCCACTGTGCCACGCTGCCTCGCCCTTGGTTAATGTTTGCCATAATTAATTTAACAGACTTAGGGCTTGTCTACACATAAACCACTACAGCTGTAGTGCTTCTGTGAAGACACTCCCTGGGCCGACGGAAGGGGTAATCCATCTCACTGGGAGGCAGTAGCCAGGTCGACAGAAGAATTCTGTCATCAACCTAGTGCTGTCTATACCGTGGTTAGGTTCGTTTAATTGCATTGGTGAGGGGTGTGGATTTTTCACACCTCTGAGCGACATAGTTATACTGACCTAATTTCCTAGTGTAGACCAGGCCGTAGTGAATTTGCTATCAATGAAATCTACTTATGTCTGTCTGCAAAGGGTATTGGAAAATCCATCATATATTCACCATTTCCTTTGTTGTGTTTCTAGTTTCTTTAACACCCTGCTACACTAATCAGAGGGAGTATAGCAGCATCAGCCATACTCTGAGCCAGTCTCGTCTCAACACAGGATGTGACCTGCAGTCTTCATGGCAGTTTGGTGAGATAAAACTGGTACACAATGAAGATCTGGAAAAAAAATTTGCTGCAAAGAGGTAGGTTATTGCAAAACGAATAGCAGTGAATTCACCATGGTGACTTTTCATGACATATCCCTTTGCTCTTAATATTCATTCATCATTTCTTTCCATTGCGAGACCAGCTTCTTCCAATGGCAAGTCAGGGATGCCAGCGCTACCATGGGGCTCACTTTACAAAGGGTCCTTCTGGGCATTTGCTTGCTGCGTAATACGACTTCCATTCCTTTATTTTGTTTTAAATCTCATCCCCGCTTTTCCTGCCTCCTTTCTTTATCTATCTACATGTTCTTTATTGACAAGATCTTCAGGAGACTGTGAGCCAGGTTCTCTGTCCTGCGACATTCCCTTTGCAGAGTCTGGCCTTGTCTCCCCCTCCTGATGATTCCTACGGGTGCTGCTGGCAGACCTAGAACTGTAATCTTCCTGGCAGCTCCAGGCACAGGGAGCATGTTGGTACAAAGGAATGGAGAGATGGTGCGACCGACGTGCACTGCCCCCTGGCTATCTGCAGACAGTCCCTTGGGCACCATCCATCAACAGTTGCAAATAAGAGCAGCCCCCAGACTTCATTAACCTGTGCCAGGTAGAGGATCAGGGAGCCATAACTGGCTGTGACAGTTTTCCCTCCGCTGCAGCCCATCTCCTTAATCTTTGAACAGCATAGGCAAGTTATGCGATGTGACTATTCATTAATAATGTCCTTGGTTTTTGTAGTTTCATGCCAAACATTTAAAAGCATATAAAATAGAATTAAATCTACAAAATATCATCTATGATAGGGCAAAGCACATACCCATAACTGAGCAGAAGCTTCCAGTTTTTTCCTGTTACTTGATCAGGTAAATTGGTCTATCCACATGTGACACTCGTTCACTGGCTGGAGGTGAGGATGAGATCAGCCCTGTGGGAGGGCAGGTCTCCTAGGGAATTACTGGAGATGGAAAACCGCTTTGCAGCACATCTGTGATTACCTTGGATATTATTATTTATTAACACAAGTTGGAAGGGGGTGAGACATTTCTTTGGTTTATGACGCTCATACATTTCAGCACTGCTATCACACACACGTACGTGCTAAACAGTTCTAGATCCACTATCGTGGTTGGGTGCTTACAAGTCAGAAGCATTAGAAAGGCACCATTCTGATGGTGAAAAGTTTATTATATTAACGAACAAAAAGCTTTGTGAAGCTATTTATTACACACACAGCATAACTGATGCAAACCCATAAAAGCAAGGAAATGAAAAGTTAGGCCACCTAACAGTGTGTGCCTTCTCCTCCTCCACCCCCAAGCACGTGCCTTACCATTACCGCAATACCCTATGCCACACACCATGCCCTGCAACTGGAACTCCGCCACTCTTCTGCCCTTCTGCATGTGCCCCTTTATCGGGCTCCTCTCCCCATGCTAGCAGTTGTGGATGTTGGGGGTAGTAGTTGGTGGTTCTTCACAGGCCTCTCTGCCTGGGTCCCCGGAGCTTTGAAAAGCTGCATGTGTTGGGGTGTGTGTGAGGCTCTCATATGAGAGGGACGTCATTGTCCTACTTTAAGGGTTTGCGCCCCCTACATCTGCCTGAGCACCTGTGCCAGTGCTTCAGAGAGCGGAACTTGCCTTCATGTCTCAGCTACCTCTTGCCTTCATCTAGCTTGTCGTCATCATAGTTTTCTTGTAGTTAGTTTGTGTGGCATAGCACAGAACGTGTTGTGCCTAGCTTGCTCTTGTACCAGGAGTCTTTGGCCCCCCACCTGGACCATGTCTGGTCCCAAGCCCCCTAAAGGCTTTGGAGATGTGCCTCCTGCCCACTGATTATACCAGACACCAGCACCCAATTCCAGTGCCTTGTATGTCTGGGCGAGACCTGCTTCACTGCATGTTTTCAGCTGCTTGACTCTGTGCCTGTACCGACTTCTCTGATCTGCTTCTGGGTACCTTTGACCCCTTCAAAAATGAATCCAGAGAGTCTGTTGATTTGATTCTTCCCCACAGTAAGTGATGCAGACCCAGAGGCAGTATCACAGTTCAGTTAAGGACAAACCCATCTTGTCTCACCCTACAGTCTGCTGGTTCCTTAAGGGTTTGGTAAATGTGTTCGTCCCCTACCCCCACCCCCATTAAGGAGCCCATGTCTTAATGGGACTTTAATCTTGCGCTGACATGCCTTTCTTGAGCGGGTATTGATCAAAAATATCCTTCCTGGCAGCTGTTACGTCTGCTAGGAGGGATAGTGAGCTCAGTGCTTGGATGGGTACTCCACCTTACAGTGGCTCCACAAGGACAAAGTCACCACGAGGCCACATCGAGGCTTCATGCCTAAGGTGCTTTCAGATTTCCACCTATCTCAATGCATTTCTCTGCCCATGTTGTTTTCCAGATCCCATTTCCTCCCGGGGCAACTTGCCTCTCTACCCTAGATGTAAAGAAGGTGCACTGCTTTTATCTGGAAAAGACCAGGCCCTTTAGCAATTCTGGTTGCTGGTTCTTCAAACATGTGCCATTGTGGATGCCACTAGCTGCATGTTCACCTCGTGCGCAAGACTGGAGTTTGTCAGACTAAATGTGTCCGTCAAGGCTGCACGCGTGCCTTATGCAACTTCATGCTCCTGTGCAAGGGCAGAACACCTGTTACCCTCTCTCAGTTCCCCTTTTCTGCCTCTGGCAGCGAATGGAACCTGCTGCAGGTCCCACCTGCTGTTTCTTAGCATTGGCTAAATGTCCTACAAACCTTTAGAACTCTGTTGACCCATCTGGACTGAGTATTGATGGTTAGAAACACCTACAGATGGCTACGTAGCTTGACAGGCTCTAAACCTGTCGGCTTCAAGCCTTGTCCAACATGTGATGGACTAATTTCCCTGAAAGATGGAAACAGCGGGTGTCTCTTTTGTTTAGGAGAGACTCATCTACTGAGCACCTTTTCGGTGTGCCTGTCATTCTCCACAAGTATGTGAGATACCCATCACACGTGTCTAAAGCTCCATCTCCTAGAGCTATCCATGAAGATCTCAACAGACCCTGAGGACACAAGCTCCGGAGTCCTGCTCGTGGACAAGCCAGCCTCATCCAGTTCCCTGTCTAGCAAACAAGAGACACTGAAAACCAGTGCAGACAAGGCAGTACCGAAACTAGGATCTGGCATTGGAACCCTCAGCACCAAAACCAACCCCAGCATCATCTGCACCAAAGCTGGCACTGAGACCTCTGGTACTGAAGTCCAGCACTGAGAATGCTGCTCTGAGTACGGAGGTGGAGCTCAGTGTCCTCCCATAAGCACAGACATCATAAAGCCTCTAGAGAGAAATCCACCAAGCTCTGCATGATGTTGAGGGCTGGTGATAAGGAACAGCCTATGGCACACAGACTCCTCTGACTCCAGCTCCAGTGACATACCTCTTGACATTGACACCTACTTTGGAGGATGTGCTTCTGGGAAAACCAGGGCAATCATCAACGCTGAAGCACCTACAGGTTCTAGTACAGACCCCGAGACCAAGAGCACTAAATCCCTTGGTGCTGCCCCCAGATGAGGTCTTCCACCTCACTGCCACTGGGGTATAAATTCATGTCTTCTCTCTTTAGGCAGTGGTCAACTACATAGAGGGACCTGTCCATGTGCCCTACAGGGCTCTGCCACTGCCGGCTTGTCTGGAATGGCACTGGACTGACCACTATCAAACGAGCCAGCTATATTCCTACAACATGCCACCCTGGCCTTATTGGGTTGTACTGGTGTCCTCCATCCTGCATCGAGAAGCAGGTCTCCACCACACTCGAGAAAGGAAAGAGGTTACTCTCACTATTGGTGTCACTGGCCAGACCACCTCTGCCGGAGTGCCATGGGCAGAGCAACACCAATGTCCTGTACCACCACCAAAGGACCTCTTGTCTTTGTCACTTGATGATGCATCAGGAGCCACATCAGATGCAGCCACTTTGCCCCGTTCCGCTGGATATGGTCTGACATGATGTCAGACAGATGTTAGAGATCATCACCCATGGCCACCCCATCCAATGCACTCATTACCCCTTACCCACACCCCTAGCCTGGCCTGCTTCTGGGACCCTGACAGCTTGTTACAAGTGGAAGTTACTGGAGGAGGAGGGGCCTGGTTTTGTCCCAGCAGAGAGTTGGGGGGGGGTTCAGTAGGGAGACATGGAACACAGGGTGTACTCACATCATGGGGGTTAGCTAGTGGTGGAAAGTGACTGGGTTAATTTTCTGGGTGACGAGGAAGGGAGCAAAGTATCGACAGTCAAGTTTGCAGGAGGGAAGGGAGGTGTCCAGGTGTTTTGTCTCCAGTGGCGATGGGAGGGTTAGCCTGGCAGTGGTGGTCAGCAAATTGCTTGTAGTCTGCCTTGGCAGTGTTCAGCTGGGCTCTTAGCTTCTCCTGAACATGATGGTGGTGTTCAACCAGGTCAGAGGCAGCAGGAATGTGGGAAGTTAAGGGGAGAGATGGGTAGAACCAGGAATGGAGATGGTAGTTGGAGAAAAAGGGGCTCCGCTGAGTGGACTTAGGCTCTGAGTTTTTGTAGGTGAACTCTGCAAAGGATAGAAGTTGGACCCAGTCATCCTGGTGGAATTTGATAAAACACCACAGGTACTTCTCTAAAACTTAATTTACTCATTCCGACTGCCCATCCATTTGGGGATGATAGGCAGTGGAGAGACATAGGTCAACATTTAAGAGGCAGAAGAGTTCATCTCCCACTTTTGGCAGGAACTGTGGTCCGCAGTCTCATGTGCTATTAGGAGGTGTAGCGGGGTGATCACCCCGCTCCGGCCCTGGCAGGGTACAAGCAGCCCTGGGGAGGGCTGCAGTGGTAACAGCAGCCCTGCAAAGGGCTGCAGCTCTGAAAGCTGGGCTGATTGGGAAGCAGCCACAGCTGTATCTGGCTTAATGAGGGCCCAGCCGGCCCTTATAAGAGGGCAGTGGGCCAGGAGCAAATGGTCTCCCTCTAGCTGAGGAGGGAGATGGACCTAGCTGCCTGAGTGCTAAAGGGTACTGGAGTGAAGCA